ACTCCCAGGAATAGCTGCTGATCTCCTGCTGGATGGGTTCCCTTTGGAGCTGATTGATGGAGATGCCTCCAACATCCCCCTGCGGTGGATAACTGATGTCCTGACTGAGCTGGACACCAAGACAGGAGGACAATGCAGAATGAGAGTGATCAGTGTGCTGGGAATTCAGAGTACGGGGAAATCCACCCTTCTGAACACCATGTTTGGGTTGCAGTTTCCAGTGTCCAGTGGACGATGCACACGAGGGGCTTTCATGACATTTATAAAAGTAGACGATGACTTTCAGGAAGAGCTGGGTTGTAACTTTATTCTGGTGATTGACACTGAAGGTCTGAAAGCTCCAGAATTAGCTTCTCTGGAGGGCAGTTATGAACATGACAATGAGCTGGCAACGCTAGTGGTCGGGCTGAGTGACATCACCATTATTAATATGTCCATGGAAAACACAGCAGAAATGAAGGATATCTTGCAAATTGTGGTCCATGCGTTTCTTAGAATGAAAGAAATAGGAAAGAAACCCAAATGCCAATTTGTCCATCAGAATGTGAGTGATGTGTCTGCTCATGACAAAAATATGAGAGATAGAAAGAAGTTTTCAGAACAGTTAGATGAGATGACTAATATTGCAACAAAAATGGAAAAAAAGCATAGCATTTCAAAGTTTTGTGATGTAATGGATTATGACACAGAGAAAGACAGCTGGTACATTCCTGGTTTGTGGCACGGAGTTCCACCCATGGCTCCAGTAAACTATGGTTACAGTGAAAATGTTTCTGTACTGAAAATGTATTTAGCTGATATACTGAAAACACAGAGCTCTTCAAACAAACCTCTTAACGTTAAGGAGTTTATTGAATGGATAAGAAGTTTGTGGAATGCAGTAAAACACGAGAAGTTTATCTTTAGTTTCAGAAACAGTCTGGTGGCCGAAGCTTATAACAAGTTGTCCATACAGTTCTCTGAATGGGAATGGGACTTTACCAAAGCCGTGCACAGCTGGGTGATTAACACAGAGACACAGATTAGGAATCAGCCAGCAGATACATTAAATACTGAAAGAGACACCCATTATGATGATGAGCTACAGAAGTTGTTGTGTGAAGAGGAAAGGAAGATGTCAGAGTTGTTGGGAAAGTATTTTGAGAACAAATCAGATAGTGTGCATCTAATTGAAAAATACAAAGAAGAGTTTTTCATGAAAGTCAAATTTTTGAAAAATGAACTTGAAAGAAATGCTCTTTATAAGTGTCGTGAGGCTTACCATATCCAGAAATCAAACCATAAGATTCGGTGTATCCAGGATGAATATCAGAAAAAGATTGAACGCAGAGTTATTGATCTCATTCAGTCCTGCAGAGAGTTAAACCATCTGCTTTGTGACAAATACTTAGAAGAGGAATTTAATGCCATGTGGCAGAATACAAGCTCAACTTTACAGATTGAACCATTACAAAGACGGAATGTAAGTCAAACCATTCTACATCAACTGCGAAATGAAATGAGTCTCAAAGGATCGGACATCAATAAAAAATTACTTAATGTGAATAGCTTAGAGGAGTATGGTAAAAAAGAATTTCAGATGAATAAAAGTTACGTTGATCCATCTTGGCTTTCTGTGAAACAAAACGAGCAATATATTAACTTAGAACACTATGAAATAATATCACAGCTTGGTAAGTCTCTAATTGAGATAAGCAATGGATATGTTACAGAAAAGGTTAACACAAGATTAGACTATGATGACACTTACTTCCAGGAACTATTACACTCAATCGATTTCAGATTGCAGAATCAGAATGTAAGAGGGATTCACTTCTCCTCTATATTTGAATTAGAAATCAAGCTTCTAATCTTTGGACGAGCTACTCAAGCCTTTCAGAAGATGCATGAGGAATTTATCCAAGAGAATGATCCAAAGATCTGCCTAGAAAAGCTGAAATCTAAATATTTTTCAACTTTTCTCACTATTTACCATGAAAAGGACCAGAGCCAGCATAGAGCAAAACTGTTTTGTGAGCTTTGCCTGAAGCCAGCTTTAACCATGTATATTTTCAAAGAACTCGGAAAAGAAATAGTTGATGATATTTTAAAAAGTTCTGACAATAAGATATTTAACAGTAGATCCTTTTTTCAGGCTGCCGTACTAAAGGATCTGTTAGAAAAAGAAGATTTTCACAATATTTTGAAATATATTAAAGAATATGCACTTTTTGTGAAGGACTGGATTTTAAAATTCATTTTAGACAAATACAAGGAACCCTCACAGTTAGAAACTTTACAAACAAACATTCTGTCTACTATTGTTAAAAAAAACATACACATTCTATCAAATGAAGAATATCTAACATGTCCTAATATTGCAAACTTTTTGGAAAACATTTGTGAGAAGTTAAACCATGAATTAATAATTCCACAGTATCAAATGAATATGGTCACATTTAGTAATAATGTAAATGTTAACCAGTTTTCTAAAGATGTTAAAATGTTTATCTCAGAAACAGAAAACCAAATACTATCAGAAGTAAAATGTTTGAGCATTGAAACCATTCTTACCAAGGTGACATTGAATCCAGTGGATGAATTGCTGAAGAAGGTGATCGGATGTGGGGAGCAGTGTCCATTCTGTAAAGTCCCCTGTGAGGCCGGAGGAACTGGTCATACAGAGCACTTTGCATCCATTCACAGACCTCAAGGCTTGCGTAAACTTAGATGGGACCCAGACGATTCACTGGCTGTAAATATTTGTTCTACTTCGGTGGTATCTAGTGATTGTTTTTGGAATTGCAAAACAGGAGGGAAACAACACAGTTATAAAGAATATCGTACTATTTATCCAGATTGGGCCATCCAACCTGATCCCAGTATCCAATCTTCTGATTACTGGAAATACATCTTTGTGAAATTTAACAAGCGTTTTGCAATAGAATATGGGCTAAATCCAGCTAAGCTACCAGAGGAATGGAAACAAATAAGCAAAGAACAAGCTCTAAGAAGCCTGAAAGAAGTGTTTAATATGAATTAATGACAAAACTGATTACGAGGCCGAATGATCCAACATGTCAGTTTGATTATACCTAATATGATATCAGTTCATTCCCTAATGATTCCTTCCCTGTTCTGATATTTAATTTAAATAATTAACAGAGTGCATAGAAATTGTCATTCAGAAATGATTTGACTACTTAAAAGAGAATTGCAAGGGGAGACTCCTGGCACCATAATCACTACGTTGGTGGTGAACAGCCCACACAAGGTGACAGTGCTGTCACTCATTGTAGCATATCTATGACTGATAAAGTAGTTTCATTATACTTTGCCTAGTCCAGGATTCAGCAACCTTCAGAATGTAGGGTGTCTTTGCTTGGCCCCTGGGGCTCCTGGACCCAAATTGATCAGATGTGGAAATCTCCCCAGCCAGCCCAGATTTCTTCAATGCCCAGTGTGCAAGAGAGCCTCTGGTCTCCAACTTTAGGAGGTGCAGACACCACAAGGAACTCTCTCCTGTGATATGGCATGTATAATTTTAACATAGCACTGTCTAAAGAGTAAAGAGCCAGATGGTGTTAGAGGTAGAAGGGCTCTGCGTCCATTGAAGGTCCAGACTACAAGTCCACTATTGGTGCACCACGGATTAATGAAGATGTATTCCCCTTCCCTGGACAAGCGTATGCAAGAGAATGGAAGCTAAACATTAGTTTAAAATAACTTTATTGCAGTAAAGAGATCCCCAAACACCCTCCACTCACAACAGTACAGATAATCCACACATGCACAACCCCACACACAGAACCCCTTGCACAACACCACAGACAGCCCAGGTATATACTCTGTGGCAGAACCAGCCACTTTGTTACTTTTATTTCTGTTTATTTCCATGTCCATGGTCAGGGAAAAATACCGAACCAAATAAGCCTATACCATTGGTCTGACGAACAAACTGCCGAACAACAGACCACCCTGAGGAGTCGTGTGTTTCCAATTGACTTTTGTGACCTCTCCAACACCTGGTAAACTGCAAGACTTTGGGTGGCCGCCGTTCGTATGCCCGAACACGTAGCAGCGGCCATCTTGTCGTACAAACACGGACAGTGGTGTTTGGTCATCGTTTGGAGTGCGTGGAACTATAATCAGACACTCGACGGCCTAAACACCGCTATATTTGTTTATATTCACTTACCAGGAGCGGGGTTCTTGGAGAATAAACTCATGAACGAGGGACACATGACCACCCAGTTAATAAACCAATCCATTTGTCTGTTAGTTCATTAGATTACTCCTGAAAGAGACCAGTCAACAGCACGCTTTGCTACGGAACTATTTGGGGGCTTCGCCTCGTGGCTGACTGGTACAAACTTTCCTCGAATGGCGTTTTAAAACCACCGAACAGATCTAAGCGAAACCTTCACCAAGTGGGCGCTTAGATCCCAGCTGTTTGGCAAAGTATCTTTCGGGAATATTGAATGTATAGAAATATGTTTAATTGTCAAATAAATATTATGTATTCTCTGTACCTTGAAGTTAATGTAATTAACGAGCAACTATTGCTCCATCTCCTCCCAGGTACAAAACCCCAGCCCATCCAAACAAACAAAATGCCACATACACACAGTATCACAAAACACCCAACACCACACACGTTCCTTACTATACACAAATACTACAAACAACTCACATATACACACATTACAAGAATCCCACAAACATACGTCACACATCAGACAGCCCATATACAAAAAAAAATACCTCGAACAGTCCTCATCCACACACATAATATCACAGGAGGCCTCATACATAATACCACAACAAGGTACACACATAGATAATACAACAGGCAGCCCACATAAACACAGTATTTCAAACAACTCACACAAACAGCTGCCACTGCACACATGCACAAAATACATGCATGCACATACAGCCAACTTCAACACACAAAACACAGCAATCAATCCTCTCTACATATAATACAACAAATAATGCATACACAACACTACACAAAGCCTGTGTATTCATTCACATAACACCACACAGACATGACACACACATGCATAGCACACATAATACATATAGACCACACAATTATACAACCTCACAGAGTAAGTTTTCTTGATAGCTCAGGTTGAGGTTTCAGGAGATACATAAGACATCCAAGAGAATGACCCAAAGGTATTTTTCAAAAAGTTGTGATCTCAGTACATTTCAATTTTTCACAGTATTCACTGAGAGAAAGACCAAAGTATGTAATAAGAAAAACTATTTTGTGGTCTGTACATTAAGACAGCGTTTGACATCATATATTTTCAAACACCTTGGGGAAGAAATAGTGGACACTTGTAAGAAAAGCAAATGTAAGAATTGGTCATTTTTCCAAGATAGCAAAATAAAAGATTTTAGCTAAAAAAATTATTCCACAATTTTGTTAATTACATTAGATGAAATGGGAGGTTGAGAAATTCCTATCACATGCCTATCAACACAGAGATGTTCTTGCAGCCCTGCTCGGTCTAGAACCTTTTTCTTTTAAGTCAGGCTGAGTGAGACAGATATATGAGGGTCAGATAGGCCTGCAATAAAGCTGAGGAAAGGGGGGTACATTCATCTAAGCATACAGATTAAGTGATGGTTGTATCAATAAAATAAGGGAGGAGGCAGCGGAAAGAGATCAGAGGGAAAATAGAGGAATGCATGTAGGGGAATAAAACAATTACATACAGAGCTAGTAAAACTAAACTTCAGCATAACAGAGGCAGGGATCCATTTTGCCGCCCTTTCATGAATGCAACTACGTTCTATTCTATTGACCCCCAGCAGATGTCAGTTGATAACGATTATCAATTGCTATCCATCCCTTCCCTCTCCTGTCTTTCAATGGCCATCTCCACATATAACACTACCCTAACCTCTGCCTTGAACGCTGCAGTGTCTCAGTGTCTGCCATAATGTCTCCCAGCGTCCCTTAGTGTCTCAGTGTCTGCCATAATGTGTCCCAATGTCCCTTAGTGTCTCAGTGTCTGCCATAATGTCTCCCAGCGTCCCTTAGTGTCTCAGTGTCTGCCATAATGTCTCCCAATGTCCCTTAGTGTCTCAGTGTCTGCCATGCCTCCCAGTGTCCCTTAGTGTCTCAGTGTCTGCCATAATGTCTCCCAGTGCCCCTTAGTGTCTGTGTCTGCCATAATGTCTCCCAGTGTCCCTTAGTGTCTCAGTGTCTGCCATAATGTCTCCCAATGTCCCTTAGTGTCTCAGTGTCTGCCATAATGTCTCCCAATATCCCTTAGTGTCTCAGTGTCTGCCATAATGTCTCCTAGTGTCCCTTAGTGTGTCAGTGTCTGCCATAATGTCTCCCAGTGTTCCTTAGTGTCTCAGTGTCTGCCATAATGTCTCCCAATGTCCCTTAGTGTCTCAGTGTCTGCCATGCCTCCCAGTGTCCCTTAGTGTCTCAGTGTCTGCCATAATGTCTCCCAGTGTCCCTTAGTGTCTGTGTCTGCCATAATGTCTCCCAGTGTCTCTTAGTGTTTCAGTGTCTGCCATAATGTCTCCCAATGTCCCTTAGTGTCTCAGTGTCTGCCATAATGTCTCCCAATGTCCCTTAGTGTCTCAGTGTCTGTGTCATAATGTCTCCCAATGTCCCTTAGTGTCTCAGTGTCTGCCATAATGTCTCCCAATGTCCCTTAGTGTCTCAGTGTCTGCCATAATGTCTCCCAATGTCCCTTAGTGTCTCAGTGTCTGTGTCATAATATCTCCCAATGTCCCTTAGTGTCTCAGTGTCTGCCATAATGTCTCCCAGTGTCCCTTAGTGTCCCAGTGTATGTCCCCTTGCAGCCTTTTCCCCCATCCCTTACTTCCCTGAGCTGTAGGCTGTGTCTGCAGGGTGGGAGTTGCTGTCTGGACTCTCTGTAGCTGCACCCCTGGAGATCAGTGAGTATAGATATTCAGGGAGGGATATGCTGGAACTTCCTATCCCTGCCTGTCTCCACATACAGCGATCCCTACTGGCCAGTGCTGGTATTGCATAGTAATCTCTTATATATTCTATCTAACCAATCCCCTCCCATGTGACTAGTTTAAGGCTTTGAGCAAATCTGACTACTATTAGTTATATTTAAACATTTTAAGTGTATTTTCATAGTACAGGTCCAGACAGTATCCACTTTATGAACCTATATAAGGGAATTTACTTTGCTTAAAAATATTGTTATCCTACTACACCCTTTCAAACACTTCATTTTCAGTCAAATAATAGCAACATTAGCTGCAATTTGACATTTTTTTTGTTGCTAAAATTGATTTATTTTATAATCCCCTCTCTTGCAACTAAGTTTTGTACAGATTTTTCCACTTAAAAAAATGAGCAATGCTAGGTTTTATTCGACATCCCAAGTTAGTTATGATATTGATTATTCCCCTTAAACTAATTTAATATTGGTATAAATAATCTCATCAGTCTAAACACAATTATAATACATTTTAATTAATTTGTTTGTCTAATTTTTCCAGCTGATACAAAGAAGAATTTCCAAAATCACATAACTTCAAGATTTTACTTTAATTTAGGTGACAACTCATTAGAAAAAGATTCTCACTCTGACTAAATGTTGCCATTATTCGACTCACACATGTATGAGTATAAATAGATTATAAAATATACCCCTAAATAATTATAGAATTACACAATTGCAGTTTTTGTCTATTTTTGGGAAAGTTTGCTTTTCGCAGGATATTGCGCATCAAAGCTTCATTGGAACTGAACTGCAAGGCATTGCACCGCACCGCACCGCACCGCATTTGATTGCTGGACTACGATGGAGCGTTTAATCCATAGTGGGGATCAGAATTGCTGCTGCCTGTTGACGAAGAGCTACTTGAAAAACTCTACTCCGTGTGAATGTGGCTCCTATATACAGTGGGATCTCGGTTTACAAACGCCTCGGTTAACATAATTTTTGGTTTACAAATGAAAATCCATTGAAAATAATGCCTCGGTTTACAATTTTTTTTCTCAATACAAAGCAAGTTTCCCCAGGATGTATTGCACCTGGGAGGTTTATAGCGCCGCCCCCTGCATGCTGGAGCCTGTGGGTAGCACGTGGCGTTGAGTGTGGAGGTGTTGGAGCAGCTTTTGCATCGAGTTCTGGAGCCATTCTGGAAATTGTTTGCAGTTGTTTTGGGACTTTGTGGTGCATTTCTCAAGCTGTGGAAAGGTAGGGAGTTGAGCTTCGTCGTTTGCATGCCTTTTATTGTGTGCTCAGCATTGTGGGTTGGTTTCCATGCCGGCTCATTTTGACTTTTTTTCTGATCTCCAGAATGGATTAATTGGTTTTCAATGCATTCCTATGGGAAACCGCGTTTTGGTTTACAAATTTTTCGCAATAAGAAACGGCCTGGAGAACGCATTAAATTCGTAAACGAGGTCCCGCTGTATTTCCAAACAGTGCTACACAATATTTTTGTGTCTATCTCTCTCCAGGGCAAGTCAGAGGAAGAGATTACTCCAAGCAACATTGCTACAGTTTAAATCTGTATTGATGCAACATTTTATTACTTGTTATTTTCTATTTTTTTAATTTGGTAACAAAGTTTAAAGGGTGCTTTGCTCTACGTGTTTGCTGCATATTTTTTTGTGTGATTAGATATTTAGTGACTGTTCACTTTCAGACATAGCTTGCTGGGGCATTTCATACTCTAAATAAAGGTTATGTTTTATATTTCGTTGTGAATATCTACTACAATTATTTGTATTTATCTATTTAAGGGTAACACCCATAGGTCCTGTAGTGGATCAGTTTATACTTACTGGACTCATTCTATTCGCCAGTTTCTAATATTACATTAAATGTCCGGGAGGATATCGAAAGACATCAAATGCGGCTTATAGGAAAACAATGGGTTCAATGCTTCCCTATGAAAAGCATTTGATTGGCTGTGCATGCGCATTTTGCCCCCAGTGCTCCTCTGTGAGATGGAAATGACACCTTTAGGATGACATTAGAGATGGAGGCGTGGGCTGCAGCATCAAGTGAGGCAATGGATGAAAAGGCCTTAGTAAATACGCTATAGTGGTCATTTAATAAACAGATATTTTTCCATCAAATTAGTGATTGTGATCCATTGCTAGGAGAAGGAAAAAAAATTGCTAGAACTATAGTTTTGGTTGTAGTGTGATCCTACAGGCAGTTGGTAACCAGGTCCGGTGCACAGATTTTTGTCTACACAGGTGAAGATGTATTTTGCCATCCCTGCCAAAATGAGTCTTCACCTGTGTTGGCCTGTTTATTTCCTAACCCCCCCTTTTCCTCTCTTACCCATTATTTTCCTCCTTTTGTGTATCTTACCATCTTTTTGTATCTTTATTCCCTGTTTGAGGATTATATCACCCTGTGTCATTCCCCCCTTTACCTTAACCTCATTGTGTAAGTTACTCCCCCCCTTGGATCTGTCATCCCGCTGTGTTTCTTTCTCCTCCCCAAATCCCTTGCGGCTCTCACCCCGTATTTAGTGTGGCCTCAAGGATTGCAGCAGTGGATCTTCTTCTTCCTCCCCTACCCAATCTGACAAGAAGACTGCTCACTGCTCTTTCCCTGCCCCATCCAGGATGCAGCTCCCTGTCAGCAGGGCCGGTGCAAGGATTTTTGCCGCCCTAGGCAAAAGAAAGATTTGCCGCCCCCCCCCCCCCAGGGACATCGCAATGCCCCACCCATATGATCTGCCATATGAACTAATGCCACTGCTGCACACAGTGTGTGTTTACATTAAAAAGCCTGCAGGGACAAACTATAGACACCAGAACAACTTTATTAAGCTGTAGTGGTTCTGGGGACTATAGTGTCCATTTAATGTGAGGTAAATTAGAGATTAGTGTCACTAATAATATACTAGATTGCCTACTTACAATCAGATGAGGATGGTGATGGGCTCTGGCTGCAGTCTTGCTCCACTGGTCTGGTGTATAACAGGATCTCTGGAGGCTGTTTGTAACTGTGGTCACAAAATTCAATGTTCTGGGAGAACGGGAAGCAGCTCCATTTTTTGGGGGCCCTTTACACAGCTCAAGGTCTGGGCCCCAGGGTCTGATGGTGAGTATGCCCATAAAGCCCACCCATAAGTCCACCTACATGTTCCACCCATGAGTTCACTCACTGGGAGTGGAGTGTGTAGGGGATGTGTTATGTGTTACTGTAGAGGATCTAATGTGTGTGCTTATGGAATGTAGTGTATAGGGATACCAGTTTGTGT